TCTGTAGCCTCTAGTTCCCTAGCGGTGTTTTATTTTGCACACAACTTACGGTTATTTTCTAATTACTTTCCAAGCTATTTGCATGCACTGAAAAATAATTTTAATTTATGCTTGAGAGTTAATTTGTAATTAAAAAACACACAATATGATACTCATTAGCAATATTTCTTAAAATAGGATATATTGTCAAGTTTTTTTGCTTGAATTTTGTTTTCTGCATTTACTTTTAAAAAGTTCAGAGAATAACATTTCTCCTTTTCTATCAATAAAAACGGAAATGTCAAAACAAAAATAACTTTGATTATAAAAAAAAGTCATCATTATTTTGAATGCCCTTGCCTTTAATATAAATTATTTCCTATCATATTACGAATGACTTATGATCGATTTTGAATTTCTATACTGGTTAAAATACAATATTAATCAAAGTATTTGATTTTATTTGATTTCTTGTATTTCTTGTGGTTGTAAGATAATACTTAGCATTAACCAATTGAAACAAGATGAGATCAGTCTAAATACATAAATAGCAATCAGTCAATAATTAATTAGACCACTTGAAAAAAGTGAAATAATTTCCTTAACAAAAAAAACCTCGGGATTATCATTAAACCCATCATTCAAACTGATCGTGTCAGGCAGCATTTTGTTGCCAAAGGGGTTCTCCTCCGATCGTTGGTCTTATCAATTTGGCAAGTGACATACGTTATTTTTAATGTTTTCTGAATAGATTATTTACAATCAATGATGTTGGACTTGCACCCACAGATAAGCACAAAATGGGTTAAGCAATATTGAATAATATTGCATGTAATTGACAATGTCAACGGAAACAGATCGGAAGAAGGCGGTCGTATATAGCGGAGCAGTCTGAAGAACCGAGTTCGAGTTCAGCAAGTCAATTGCCATTAAACTGGGACGAATGGAATTTTATTTAATTAGGGGTAATTGCAACTCCCCCAGAACGCTTGCACTTGAGCAATTACTGCAATTAGGCTAAAGTTTTTATCTTTACGACTCAGTCCCTTTGATTTGATATCCACTCGAGAATGTTGAAGATATAGGAAAATTGGTAAGAAATTTTGTATCATTTCACAGATTTTATAACTTTTATAATTTCTGATACAATGCAATCGAAAAATTACCCAATGCTCCAATTTCACTAAAAATTCTTCCTATCGAAAGTTCAAGCTAATAAGGTTCGACTGTAAATGCTTCATAAATGCTGACACAGCGATAACACTACTCATTTCGGGTTAAAAATCACCAAAAAGTGGTTCTAAATTTGCTTTTTTGTGGCTTTGATTGATGGGCGGGCGGTGCGGTGTGTTCCGAAAATAAAGCCGTGATTGATTGGCTCTTTGGCTGATTTTGAATGGGATTATATGCATAGTTTACACTGACCAACAAAAAGGGAAAGGGAACTTTAAAATCAAATAAAAAGTACAGCGCACAAATTGCGCAAAATGCCAAAGAACGAACGCCACACCAGCTCCAATCAGACGGCAAACAGCTCCAGTAAGAGCCAGCTGCAGTGCAGACATCTAATTGCCTCGAAAGGGTGAAACAGCAACAACAAAGCGCCGAGTTATAAACATAAGCGCATGTGCATTTGTATATTTTGTATACTTTGTGTGTATGTTGTGTGTGGGGGAATGTACATAAAAAAATATTCAAAAATGGACCAACTGGGTCTCTCCTCATTCCCAATAGGAATTGTATTTCGCCTGCAGTTTGACAGCCACTGGACGAGTGTGTGTTGCCGTTCTTGCACTTTTCCTGCCGCGATCGGCATCTGTTTACACTTGCACAAACGCTTGGGGTCGAAATACTAGTATCTTGTTTTATAAAATATTTTTAATTAATTATATTTGGCAGATTAGAGTGAGGGAAATAGGGAGAAGGACGATTACTTTATAAAAAAAACTGGAAATAATGCTATTTCATAATTTAACAAAAATTGGAGTCGGCATCAACTGCACTGCTAATGTAATTTTTGTAATTTATAAATTTGTAAAAGAGCTATCAGATTTATTGATAACTTTTATTAACAAGAATTGAAAACTATAAGATTTATTTATTGCAAACCTTCAACTGTTTGCATTCATTATAAATATTATTTAATCAATAAATAAATATTTAATAATATTTAATCAATTAAATGCAGTTTTTTAGAGTGATTATCGTGTTGAACACAATTGTAGGCGAGATGCCGCATTGGGGGCGTTGGCATCGCCCCTCCTTTTACATCTCCTCCACCTCCTCTGCCGTCTGCACTCTTTTCTCCTTTCTCTCAACTTGGCCTTGTTGCACTTCTTGCTGTTTGCTGCTGGCCTCTCGGTTGACCCGTTAAGTGTAATTGAATTTAAACGGCAATTGTCTTGGCGAATGCAATAAATGCATTTTGCGTTGTGCAAATCACATTCACGCTCAGTGGCTCTCAAACTGCGGCTTAACGGTGCTGCAGAATGCCTAATGAGCGAGGGGGACGACGAACGGTAGAGCGGGACAGCAACTGCCGAAGCGGAATGCGGTTTAAAAATAAACCAAGCCCAGAGCGAGACAGCGAGACTGCGGGAGTAAGAGCGAAGGGGGTCCGAGCGCGAGAGGGGAAAGCGCGAAGCCAAAACGTGCTTTGGCTTAGACCCTATTTAGCCTAGTTTACCAGAAATACTACAGACACTGGCCGAAGACGAAGAGAGCCAGGCTCAGAGACACCTGTGTTGTGCCAAAAGAGAGAGAGAGAGAGGGTCTTCCCCCCTCGTTATGCTAATTTACAACCCAACTACAGGCGTAATTCTGTAATGAAAACTATTAAGTGAAGCTATTTGAATACTTGATTGCTTTAAGAAAAGTAATATAAAATAATATTTGAAAGAATTTCGGCCAATCTGATATCTGTTTTCCGAAATGTTAGTTTCTACTGCCCCCAAAACTAGTTTCCACCTAGGCAAGTTGGACTGTATAACTTGTATGGACTGACTGTCTGACAGGTTGGCAATTTTACGACCTGTTCGCACGCAACCAGGGAACTGCACGGTGGAGGATCTTCCCGATCGGGACTGGGAAGACCCTTCTTTTACCGCATACAGTTTCACAGATTCGGGAACCCTAGCGATTATGCAACACCTTGCACCTCTAGCCGGGCTTTTATTATTATTGGCTTACTATATGTGGAGCATCGGACCGTAAAACGTCCGCAATTCTGTTTTACGATCTCTTCCACACGCCATTCCCATTCCCGCTTCCAGTTCCAGTTACTGTATAATTCCGGTTTTAGGACTCACCTTTGACAGCCTCGTAGTATCCCAAATCCAGCGTGAATGATTTACGTTGCTATCCTGGCACTAGCAAAAATATATTATCTAGTGTATCCCCAGCGTGGATCACGGCGACGGCGGCTTCTCTTCTTCGGCTTTAGCTGCTGCAATTAACATAAATTCCCGTATTTATTTGTTTTTTCGTTTACGATTTTCACTACGATCTCTCTCCCACTTCTCTTATTCGCGGCACTCACACGCACTCGCACACAAACAAGCGAAAGATGCAGAGGAGACGCGTAAAACCACGAAGATGGATATAAAAATGAACCAACGCGAACACGAGGATGAGGAGGAATAGAAACGGGAGAGGAGCCGTAGGTGGGGCAGGGGGGGTGGAGCGAGATCAGTAAAACCGGAAAGTTGTTTTTGTTGCTCTGCCATAAGCGGCGGTCTTGTTGTTGTCTCTCTTTTAGTTATACTTTTTAGGAAAAGAAAACGCCGAAAAAAGTGTTAAGAACTCACGAAAATCCACGGCTTTGGATTCAGATTCTGTTTTAATTTATGCCAGGAATTTTTGTCACTTGTTTGGCTGACCTTAATAACACATTCCAATGCACACACGCACACAAACAGATCGCAAAAACCAGCTTTTTCGTTTTCCTCTTACTTGGTTCGTATCTCGGTTTTTTTTGGGATCAGTAATTAGAAAGAGCCGGCGCAGCAACAGTTCTAATTAGACAAACTAGAGCAACAACAAGGGCTTGGGTACTAAGGGAGACAGATGGAATTACGTTTTACTCAATGGCTCAGTTGTTTTTTTGCGCGGCGCTTCTTAATTTTTTCGTTGTTAGCGGTTTGGATTTTGGTATTGTTTAGCGCGCGTCTTGTCGCTTTGCCGATTTTTTTGATTTGTTGAAAAATGATCAAATTTCCAACCTACCGATATTTTTGTTGGTATTTTTTATACTGTGTTTCTGGTCACTCTGAATTTCTACGCTGTTACTTAACATTTTACACTTTACGCGTCAAGATAAAATTTTACACATTTACGTTTACAGATACATGAAATTGGCAAATAGTTTAATTTATTTATTTGTTTAATGTAGTATGCTGCTTTGTTTAAAACTAGCATAGAACATAGAACTTTCCGAATTGAATTTATTGCTTTTTCGGCATAGTTGTGAGTCTTTGAAAATTAGATTTGTCGAACAATTTTTCTCACGAAAGAATATACAAAAAAATGCATTCAAATTATATCGGTTTTAGGTTAGAATTTAACTAGAAAATAATTCCGCACTTCAAAATACTATAATTACATAAAATAATGAATAATAAAATAATAAAATAATTATGGAAAGGCACCAAATTTCTAAACAACACAAGAGTGTTATTGTTTGGACTTCGGATGAATTTTCATGAATTTTTTATATCCAAAACTAGTTATTCTCATTTCAGTCAGAAGCTAAAAACACACCGAAGTAGTTATTTCCGACCCTATAAATATATATTCTTGATCAGCATAAAAAACAGTGTCGATATAGATTACTCCGGACGAAAACGTTTTTTTTTTAACTTTGGCCAAAATTTGAATAAACGATAAGGGGTTACATCATTCATATTGAACATTTTAACATGTTAAACTAAGTATGCATATTTGTTAAGCTTATAAAAACTAGCACAGAACAGTTTTGAGTTTATTTTTAATTTGATTTGTTGTTAGGCTGCACCAGCGTGACTCACGCGAGGAAAATCTCTTCACGGTGTCATCCCTAGTTCTCCTCTTCTTTCTGAAAAATACAAACCGAAAACATGAAGAATCTTTTTATTTTTGTTTTTCTAATGTTTACCCTCGTACTTTGTGGCCAATGCAATGGAGAGGTCTGTAAGAAGTTGCTGGCCGATTTGGGCGACGGGCAGATGCATTTCATCTACTGTGCCACCACCAAGTCTGTGCCCGTGAATCTGTGCGTTGGATGCGACCTGGAGTACCACAATATTGTCGGCCTCTACAATAATCTCATGAAGAACGAGAACTGTTCCAAGCGCTACCTTGATTCGGACCGCATCAACATTGTGCCCACCACGCAGGGCATCCTCACGAATCTCTGGCAAAAGGCAAACTGCGATGGTAAGTGGTATTTTAAAAAGGGGATTCCCAAATATCTCACAGCTGTTCCGTTTCCCCACCAGATTGTGCAAGGGCCAATAACTCGGGTAATTATGATACTTACTCTACCATATTCGATTCCTGCTTGACCAAGAATAAGGACAACGTGTGTATGGCCTGCAAGCTGGAATACCTCAACTTGAATACCTTTTACAAGAACATGGAAAAGGCAAGCAAGGGTCAAGTATGCTTTGATCTGCAGGATAATGTGAGTATTTTACAGGGCAAGTTATGATTTGGTCTTACTAGAAAATCCTTTAATGGCATTCCAGATGAACCGTACTCGCCTCAACTGGTCCAAGACCCTGAAATGCTGCCAGCGGGAAAGCAAGTTGGAAAACTTTTTGATCGCCGTGGCCGTGGTTGTTCTCCTGCCCATTTTCACCTTTTATGTTACGGCAATTGTGGTGACCAAGCGCCGGGAAGCCAACCATGGTTTGCTCAACGAGCAGGGTAAGCCAGGACATCCTTATTCAGTTGAGAAAGTAACTACTAAGATACCTCTTTGTAGAACCCGAGTTGGATGCTCCTTCCACTGCAACAATTATTAGCGCTGCTGTGCTGTCCACTCGCAGTGTCGATACCGCTGAAGTCTTGGCCACAACGGAGAAGATAGCCAATGTGCTGAATCAAGCCCGTGTTGATCTCTCTGATGATTCCAGCAACGATGAGAGACCGAATTCGAGAAAGAAGAAAGCAACTCGTCCCGCCTTGAAATTTGATTCTTCCAGCGACGACGACGAGCAATTGAGATCGAAAGTGTTGCCCACAGGGACTACTGGTCAGGAATCGGATTACTCCAGTGATGATGAACCTCTGGTGAAACCCAAAAGAGCCTAAGGAAACCAAAGAAAGGCTCTTGATGGTAAGATGAAATCAAAGGAATATCTTGCCTTTCAGGCTTAAAAAGCAAAAGTAATTTAATGAAAAATATTCCTATTACGAGGAATTCAATTTCTTACATCTCTGCTCATTACTATATTTAAGGGAACAACTTCTCCTACTCTCAAGTTGAGATATTTTTCTATATAACAAATCCATAAGCCATATAATATATACATATGTGATAACACAATAAAGTACCAAACATTTTATATATTTATAAACAGAAGAAGCTTCAATGTAGGCAAATATCTTGTGAACGTCGAACAGCATTGCCAAGCCAATGCCAATCAGGATACTGAAGATAGGCATTGGCTTAGGGAGTTGAGAATTCGATTTCTTATTTTTTGAATGCTAAACTTCTGCCCAATTTTCATGTAGCATTTTGTATGCCCTTTATTTATTGGCAAGTTACCATTGCGCTTAAATCTAATTATATGCGAAAGAAGATCAGGGTCATCAACAACTTGGCAAGGGCCCTTCCACCGGTTTTAGGGTTCTAGCTTACGATCTATGCTCTTAATTAGATAACAAATTAACAATGGAAATGCATTAACCGTGATTCGTTCCGTTTATCCGTAGGGAGCATAGAGGTTGCCATGGGTGGAGCTCGTCTGGTAGTGAACCAAACTCCCATGGGTCTGCTGGGCCGGCTGGTAGTACGCCTGATGGTGATACAACGAAGGTGGCGCCGGCTCGTTTACCTGAATCTGGTGGTAATTGGTGATGGGTTCATGTTCCACCACCTCGCGCACCGTCTGGAATGGATGATTCACCACAATGCGACGCTTGTGGAAGGTCTCGCTGGTGGCTGCCGCATCGGTGGGCGCAGCCGTGGCGGCTATTACCCGCTCATTGGGCTTCAGGTGGCCAGCTCCGCCATTCACGGTCACGTCCACATCCACGGGCTGGGCCTTCGTCTGAGAGGGCGTAGCCTGAGTGGCAGTAACTTCGGAATTGGGTGCTTCTACCAGACGCTCGGATTTCTGCTCTCGCATCTCCGCCGATCTCTGCTGCTGCTGCTGGCTCCTATCGCAGTCCGGGGCGATGGTGGAGGAAACCATAAGGGGCTTCTGTGCTTCGCTGGCTATTTGGATTTGGATGTGAGTGTTCGCCGGTGAGTCGTTTTCCTTTTTGAGCTCTTCTCTGGGCGCTTCTTTGGGCGCCTCAACTAATCTAGAAGACTTGCTGTCCGGACTGAATCTCATCTGGGAGTAGGGAGCACTGTAGTCCAGTTCTTCAGCAACTCTCTGCCTCGAGGGCTGACTGTAGTAGGCCCTGGGAGCTGGAGTCTTGGCATATACCACCGTAGCTCCCACATGATTGCGCAGATAGGGCTTGATCTCTGTAACCTGAGCAGGCACCTCCTGGATGCGCCTCTCCTTGAGCGGAGTCTGGCGACTACGCCCCAGGTAGATGTTGTGCTGCGACGGCGGCAGATGGATCTTGTGTTCATGCTTAATGATTTGCGTGGGTCGCTCCTCCTCCTCCGTCTCGGCCAGCTCCAACCTAGCGGGCTTGGCGTCCAAACTGCCGGCATTCACATTGGGCAAGTACTCGCCGGAGAAGTAGTCATCGTCCTCGGCATACTTCTGACGATTGAAGTTATTGTTCCTCGGCTGATAAACCCTCTGGCCACGGGGATATTGCTCCTGCTCCTGTTCCGGCCGCTGAATCATATTGGGTGTGAGGTGCTTGGCGTTGATCTTCAAGGGATTACCACTGGCATCCACCGCCGAGACGGAGACGGATGAGGAGCCGCTACCCCCTTGGCGGCCATCGGTTACATCTCCCAGGGACTGCGGTTGCTGCAAACGTGACTCCACATACTCATCCTTGGGCGCCTGATCATAGGAGGGCATAGTGGTTACGCTGGAACCCACTGTGGTGGCCTGCTGATCCTTGCCGGCAGGGGCTGAGTCGTAGGATGGCCGATACTCCTGGCCACCGTTGTTATTGTAGCTCTGCGTCTGAACCTGACCAGTGTTGTAGGCGGCAGCTACCGCGGGATGGGGATGTCCTAGAGGAAGCAGAGTCTCTCCCTTGGGAATCTTGGCCACTGGATGCTCAAGCTCCACAACCAGAGTGCCCGCCGGCTTGATCACCACCCGTTCTTCGATGTCATAGAACTCCTTCTGGATGGCCGGATGACGAACCTCGTACTTCTTGGCTTTAGAGCGGGCTGGACAATCTGGATGGTTTTCGTGACCAGCGGACGTTGAGGCGGCGTGTAGCTCCGTGGAGGAGCCGGTGGCAGGTAACCAGAGCCGCCTTGGTAGCCCGACTGCTCGCTGTAGTCATCGTAGCCCTGGCCATCGTCCACCTCTGGCGGATATTGATCCTGGTAGTCCACCTCCGGCGCATCATCGTAGCTATAGCCACTCTGATCGTAGCTGGGACGATTATAGCTGGTGGCGGGACTGAAACCCACCGAGGTATCGTATCCCGAAGCAGGTTCAGCGGGAAGAGAAGGCGCTGCGGCAGCCGGAACGGAACTGGATGAAGACGATGAGGAGGAAGAAGAGGAGGAGGAGCTGCCCCCGCCTGAAGAAGATGAACTGGAACTCACAGCTGGCGCTTGAACGGGAGCCTGGGCTGGTTCATAGATGGGCTTGCTATCAGGAGCCACCTCCACTTTGGCACTTTGACCTTGAGTGGAAAGAGGAGCAGCCACCTGGCGCTCGAACATGCGCAGCTGCTGGGATCGATGACTGCCTCCAATTGAGACCAACTTCTGGGGAGCAGCTTCCACGTCCACAGAGGAAGTTACCCCCGAGCTGGACTGTGTGTAGCGCTGCGGTGCGGGATTCGAGGACTCGTAGACCTGGAAAGAGTGGTTGCTTTGTTACTTTACCTTATCTTACGTTTTCAATCCTAGACTCACCGTCTCCACAGTGGGTCCATGGCTATGGTAGGACTGGATGTAGCGCTCGAACTCCTGATTCTGGCGCAGCTGCTGGTTACGCTGTCGGAACTGACCGCTGTGAGGACTCGGCTGTGGTGGCTGTTGGTGGAGTGAGGGTCGGCGATTGTGGTTCCGGCGACGAGGCAGTCGCCCGTTCTTGGACATCGGCGGCTGACCCTGAACCGGGGGCTGCAGACCTAGTCCTTGGCGGGGCGAGAGCTGTTGAGGTTGCTGCTGCTGCTGCTGTTGCTGGTTTTGTGTCATCTGCTGCTGGGACTGTAGTTGCTGCTGCTGCTGCTGTCGCTCCTGGATGCGCTGAAACTGCTGATCCTCTTCCCGCTGCGGACCTGCTCTCAGTTCCGCCGGAGCACGGCCACCTTCCACGTAGTTAACATCCGCCGGATTCGTGGCCGGTTGCTGGGCAATCGAGATGTTGACATGGGTGGCGGCATAAGCCTGACTACAGGCCACCAGCAGGACCACCAGAAGTCCTCGCATCATCCTGATTCAGATCCTGTGATTTTGTCCAATCCGAAAGCCAAGTCCAATCACTGCTGACAACCACCAACACCGAAGCTCACTGCTGTCTGATCGATCGGCGGATTGTGCCCCGCATATTTATACGGATTTTCAGGTGGAATTGCGGGAGCGATCGCCATCGCGATCAGTGTCAAAGTCAACGGCAGCAGTCATAGGAATAGCAATAGCCACAATACAGGTGTCTAGAGCTGACCTGGCCCAAACTGTTTAGGGATGAGTCTCTCAGATGCTTGCCCCAGTTATACAATTAAAGGCATTCGACGACCTGGCGATGGAGCGATCGCATTTGATCGATGATGCATTCAACAAATTGCTGTCATCGCTTCACACTTGTGTGGCACGCACCAACAGTGGGAGAAAAAATGGTGGCTAAAAGAATTTGTCAAAAAAAGTTATAATGAAAAATTTAGATTTCAAGACTCTTCCAGAAAATAATAATCAGTGAATGGGTCATTTCCGACCCTATAAATCATATATATTCTTGATCAGCATCAACAGCCGAATCGATATAGACATGTCCGGTCAAAACAAAAATTTTTTTTAATTTTTTCCCAAAATTTCAAAAAATGATAAGGGGTTACATCGTTAAAATTGTCAAAAATTGATAAAAAATTGAGTTCTTACAATTTTAATACTCACTATACAGATTTGTTATCCTTATAAAAACTAGCACAGAACCGCTCTCCGAATTGAAATTAATGCATTTTTGACTTAGTTATGATCTATTGGACTTTCCAATGGCTAAGTGCAATGATATAATGACTTCAGCTTCCCAAAGTTGGCTTCCTTTCTTGTTAATAGTTTATACATAATTTAGGTATATAGGTTCGGTTTTTGAATCCCTAAGCGAGCTCTACATGACCGTTACAGCTTTTGGGATATATTTTTATTCCTTCGAGGGGATTTTCAGTGAATGTTTGTATTTAAAAAATTACGAAATATTAGTATAATTTAAATTGAAACCCATTTAACAAGTTCTAGTATAAAGAAACTCATTCTCGAATCTCAGAATTTAGATTCACATTATTTTTTGCGACTGATACAAAATAGCAACTCCGAATTTCGATAGCATCCCGTAATTGGTCAGTTCAGCATTTTCATCTAATTGTCGGAAGGTCAGAGTTGCGCTGATCTGTTGTCAACTCGTTTGAACTTGAAATCCGAACCGAGAGACGTTGAACCGCTGGGAGGAGCTTCAGATATCGGTCCCTGAATGGAAATCACTTTTTGGGGGTGCTGCTGCTGGTCAGGCAAATTTGCGCAATCGAAGTTATTTTGGCGAAGACCACTGAGTGCTCGGATTCGGAAAGGTTAATGTGAAGTAATTCGGTTTTACGTTTACGGACTGCTGCAGATTTGCAATTTTACCATGGCTAAAATCAAAGTCAAGTGTGGCTTAAAATACTAAGTAGGAAAGGGAGAAAGTGAAACTGGAGGCCTCTGGTTATTTGTTTTAATTATAAACCAAGGTCGTTGCTGTGTATGGCTTGAAAAGGCAACAAAACTAATTGATCTAGGTCCTTAGTTTGTGTTTAATTTTAAATAAATACCTTACATTTGGAAAACATCAAGATCCAGTTTATTCGCTCTGACAGCCGCTCCAAAATTTTAGAATCATACAAAACAAAACAAGTCACAAAAACTCGCTCGTAAGCAATATGAAAGGATGTCTACTAACAGTCGCTATGAAGGCGTGCAAGCGATTACAACAACCGCAGCAGGTGAGTGCGATTTGCAATCCATAAACGTGCCCTGCATCGCCGAAAAGAGTTGACCACATGTGTGGGATAAAAAGGCGTTTATTATTTTATGTTTTGTGGGGGAGTCAAAAACCAGTAAATAGAGTAGACAATAGTATACAATATAACATGCGGTGCATGTGGCCAGTCCACAACAGTACTACTGGTGAACTGACATTGGTTACAAGCTACAAGCTACGCGATAAACACAGTCTCAGGCATAATAAGACAGCTTAACCAGCTAACGGCGGTAGATAGTCTACAGCAGCTTCTCAATATCCTTGGCTATGTCCATGGGATCGGTGGTTGGGGCATAGCGGTTAATGGGAATACCCTCCTTGTTCACCAGGAACTTGGTGAAGTTCCACTTGATCCCACTGCCCAGAGTACCGGTCTGCTTAGCCTTTAGGTACTTGTACAACGGGGCGGCATTATCGCCATTCACATCGACCTGGAAGATAAGCCAGTTATAAAATTCTATCGGCATTAGTAAGCATTGTTTATACCTTGGCGAAAACTTCACCGATGTCGGCCTTGGAGTCACGCAAATGGCACACCATGGCCTCGCCATCGGCTTCCGGCATCTGCGATCCAAACTGATTGCAGGGGAAGTTCAGGATGACCAAACCGGATTCACCGTACTTCTCCTTCAGATCCGTAAGCTTCTGGTAGTTGTTCTTGGTCAGGCCACATTTGGAGGCAATGTTCACCACCAGCAGCACCTTGCCCTTGTACTTGTCCAGGGAGACATCGTTGCCATGAGTGTCCTTCACGGTAAACTCGTAGATCGAGGCGGCGTTCTTGTAATCTCCGTTTGCAGACATATCGATCTGGAAGCGATGACAAAACGAGAGAGCTTAGTGGGGTATTAAGATATTGGGATCCTTATCGGACTCAATCTCTACAGAATATACTATATATAGTAAAGCACAAAGAACATAGGGCATAGGCAGTCACAATAAAGATTAGTTCGGCATAAAGACAAGGCAACAAACTGAGTTAGTCAACGTTTAAAGAGCAACTTCAACAACTACTCGCACTACTCACGGAAGCTGCTGTGGAGTACGAGGCGGCAGACGTGGCGGATGCGGGTGCAATACTGGCCGCACAGCTGACGGGCAGCAGGACGGAGCAGAAGCGCAGGCTCTGCCTTTGGCCCTGGGTCAACTTGAGGGCGCTGGGTGTGAAGGAGGAACGCCTGCTTGAATAGCACCTGATGGCCTGTCGGGAAATGGTCTGAAACTGCCTGAGATTCATACTTCAATCGCTGCAAAACAACCAGGGAAGATTACTTTAACATTCAATGGCAACAAGGATAGTGTGTGTAAGGCCAAAAGAATTATCTAGTTGTAGGTAACTGAACAAGTTGTTTTTGAAAAAAATGTTGTATTGTTAATTAAAAATATTGTCAAGTTTTTCTTAGATGAACTTATGGTTTCAACATTTTGTTGTTTGATTATATTAAAACTTTTGATTGAGAAGCACAAGTTAAGACCAGAAAACATGGAGGATAAGGGCTGTACTTGAATCTATCAACAAATAAAAGTGTTTTGTATTTAATTAATGTTGAATAAAGTTGAAGAATTCCAAAATAATATAAATTTCGAAGCAACGTTAACTACAGATTATTTTCGTAATGAGCTTGTATTTGAAGTAGTTTCTGTAGAACTGTCTGCAATTCATCCTTGCCGCGAACTTGACCTTTAACCAGATTGGAGGAGATGCATAATTAACCAGGGTCAAAGTCAAAGTCGGGGGCTATTTTCCGGTGAGTCACGCCACCATGTCTGGTCAGGATTGGCCCACGTCCGCGACCGTGTAGCAGGGGTCGCCCTATTACCGCCGCCCGCTCATTACGCATGCAAGCCATTTGATTCGAGAGTTGATAGCGAATTAGAGAAGGAGAGGAGTTATTGTTCTGGTAATTACTTGCATGGTGAGGTAGACGTACGAGCCCAAGGCAATGGCCAGGGAGCCGAACAGAAAGTGCGCGATGGATCGGCCGGCCATATTCTACTATATATCCCCGATTTCACCACGGCTGCTGATGCCTGCTATAGGAAAATATGCACGGATACAAATAGAATGACAGATTCTTGCAAGCTCACGCTGATGGGCAAGATATGTATGCACGAATTGGGAGCAAAGTACAACAATCCGAAACTGATTGATTTTCCTTTTCCTTTAATCTCTCGCCTGGCAGCTGTTCGCAAAATATGACTCCGCGGCTGATATGCTTTATCTCGGCAAAACACTTGTTGTTCCTATTGTTTGGGGCTTACTTTTGTCGTAATCGTACAATATATTAATCACTTTCGAGGCGTAAAAAAAACTGCGACCGGCGACCGAAGAAATTTCCCTTTTTATAGAGCGAAATTTCCTTAAAAAAGCTATCGACTGTCCAGAAATCGAATAGAATGGTACTATCGACCTATCGATGCAACATCGGTGCTACTGCCATCTCTATCGCACAAATTTTCTTCTTTTTCCATTGTGCGTGTGCTTGTGTTTTTGTTATTGGGGAAATTCGAAAGATACAAAATTGTAGAGTGAAACTAGAAGCACAGAGCGAGCGAGAAAGCGTGCGAGGAGGCCAGCGAGCAGCCACGCCCAGCCAGGCCGACCCGCCCACTTCCGCAGGACTCTGATACACACACACATTCGCGGCAGGCACGCACACACACACGCCCGCACCCACACAGCAGACAGCAGCAGATCTCCGCAAGGAGAAAAAGCAGCCTGCAAATGATGCTCTCATCGATTAACAACTCCTTCGAGCAGGACACCCACGATGCGGACGCCAACTGCGACGGGCCGGACCTGGACTTCGTGTACGCCGACGTGGACGGCTACCAGAACGAGATCGCAGAGTTGTACAGCTACACGGAGTTCAGCGAGTTCCAGATGAACGTGAAGGCCTTCGAGGACCAGATGGAGCTGTACGATTTGCCGCCCAACTGGCAGAAGCAGGACCCGGCGGCGCAGCGCGGCATCGTGATGAAGCTCGTGGACCAGTTGGAGGTCTCGGACCGGGCCTTCCGCATGCAGGCCGCCCGCTGCATTCTATATCTGGCGCAGGGCTGCTGGGCGGAGGTTCAGTCCGACGAGGAGCAACACCAAATCACCCGGGATAATGTGCTCGTGTTGCACAAGCTGGGCGTGTTCGCCTCCTTCATCGACCTGCTCAATATGGAGATCGAGAGCGCCTGCTCGCCGGACATAGTGGCTGTTAAAATCACCAATGTGACACTGGTAGACTCGACGGACATTCGGGTGATCCTGTCCGTGCTGTACATCATCACAGAGACAATCCGGGACGAGCGAGAACGAGGCAGTGAGGATTACAAGGAGCTGGCCGAGTCATTTGTGCAGGACATCAACTCGCCGCTGCCCGACGGCGAGCTGTTGGCCGTCAAGCTGCTGGGCATGATCACACGCTTCTGCAGCGGCGCTGCCCCGCAGTTTCCCATGAAGAAAGTAGTCCTGCTGCTGTGGAAGGTATCGCTGCTCGGGCTGGGCGGAATGGATGTCCTCAAGAATCTCAAGAACGAGTACCGGCTGAAGGTGGGCCTGGAACCGATCACCGAGGACACGCTGGAGGTTACCAAGTGTATGCGAGCGAGCTCACCGCCGGCCACGGCTACCGATATACTGGAAAATCAGTATCCCAAGAGGAACTTCAAGTGAGTATGAGTTTAGTTTGTGCTTTTCCAGCTTAGACTTACCATATTTTTCCGTCGTAGGCGATCGCTTATGAAGCAGCGCTTCTTGGATGAGCCGGAACAGATCGACATGGAGATGAGTGGCAATGAGGGTCAGAACAATGCCAACAATGGCAGTGGAAACGGTGGTGGCGGCGGCAACGGTGAGGAGGAGCTCTCTCAATATTATCGGCCCTACGATGATCCATCCTCGTCCGCCTCCTCAACCACCTCCACGGCCAATCCCAATAACCAGCCCAGTTCGACACAAGCCCCGGCCGCCGTGCCGCCGATACAGATCACCGCTCGCCTGCCCTGGACGCCCAAGGTGCGGCAGAAGGATATTGACCAGTTCCTGGACATTTCGAGAAACAAGTTCATAGGGTACTCGCTAATCGGTGACCATGAGAGTCTGGCTGGACTGCCGCAGCCCATTCACGAGGGCTTTAAGACGCTGCAGAGGCACATGTACTTGAGCCTGGCCGATATGCAGATCAAAAAGGAGGAGGACATTGCCAGGAATCCGATTTCCACTCACGAGGATGAGATCAAATTGACGCCGGCCGAGGTGCTGTATCAGGCAATTCTGCCCAACCTACCGCAATATATGATCGCGCTGCTTAAGGTCCTGTTGGCGGCATCACCCACCTCCAAGTCCAAAACGGAAAGCATCAACATAATGGCCGATGTGCTGCCTAAAAAGATGCCCCTGACGGCCACACAGTCTACGAAGCTAACAGTAGACATGGGCCGCCACAAGGAGATCATCGTGAAGGCAGTGTCGGCCATCATTCTGCTCTACCTGAAACACTTCAAGATAAACCATGTCTACCAGTTTGAGTTTATGTCCCAGCACCTAGTCTTTGCCAACTGCATCCCGCTCGTCCTAAAGTTCTTTAACCAAACGATCACCGAGTACGTGAACACCAAGAACTCCATTCCGCTGTTGGACTTTCCATCCTGCGTCATTGGCGAACAGCCGGATTTGAGCGGCGACAGCTTTGTTTACGGCGGAGAGATGTCCGACAAGCCGTACTCATGGCGGAACGTTTTCTCCTGCATCAACCTGCTGCGGATTCTTAATAAGCTGATCAAGTGGAAGCACTCGCGCGTCATGATGCTGGTGGTGTTCAAGTCGGCCCCGATCCTGAAGAAGACACTCAAGGTGCGCCACGCCATGATGCAGCTGTACGTACTCAAGCTGTTAAAGATGCAGACCAAGTACTTGGGCCGGCAGTGGCGGAAGTCGAATATGAAGACCATGAGTGCAATATACTCTAAGGTGCGGCATCGCCTGAACGACGACTGGGCGTTTGGAAATGACCTGGAATCGCGTCCGTGGGACTTCCAGGCGGAGGAGTGCACGCTGCGGGCCTGCGTGGACCGGTTCAATCTGCGACGCTATCCGGAGGCCACACAGAAGTGCGGTAATAATGGCACCGCGGCCCAGAATGCGGAGAATGCCCAGCAATCGAATATGATGGCGGGCAATAATGGTATAGGCAATAACGGATCCGATGTCAATGGCTATGGGAATAATGGCGGCGGAGGCGGTGGCAACAACGGCGGTCACAATCAGCAGCAGCAGCAGCAGCTTAACGATTACGGCGTGGAGGGCGGTTTTCCCAGCGACGAGATCCTAACTCACTCGGACTTTGCCTTCTTTGGCCACTCCGGGTGGTGGGATCGCAAGGTCGAGCTGACGGACTACTTCAAGGCCAACTATGCGGTATGGTTGGAGGAGGAGGTCTACAATAGTCAAACCGACTGGGATGCCCTCTAATCCCATGGGTGAGTAGTGAGTGGCTTGGATTACTTGCCAACTTACTAATTAAGCTTTTACTCTTTATGGCAGCTCCTGTAACATGCGCATCTTATAAGCAAAAAGTTATTACCATAATTGTAAGCATAATAAAGATACATTGATATAATCCATGTAGCCCGCGACATAGGATGCGAAGAACTCACTGAAATTGGCAATAAATTGGCAAGTCACGACGGACTCTCATCCATTTCACTAACTTAAAACAAACTAACTAACTAGCCTACATGCCTGTATATTTAACTATTATATTTTATAATTTCTGTATTTATTATTTGTGTTTTGAGCGAAATAAACAAATTTAATAGTTCGAAAACAGCTTGGGTCACCTTTCGGTTTTTGTTTATTTATTATTTGTGTGTTTTGTTTCGCACAAGAAAAAAATATATAGAGTTCTATTAGGTCATAGGTCTTAGCACTAGTTTTTAAATTGATATTTACAAGGTGCGCATACATATAAATATATCCATTATATAGTACAATAACTCCTTCGACTTAGACTCCAACGCCCAAATTCCACATGTGACGTAATAGTAAACAATACAAGTGTGTAATAATAATAGTTAGCACAGCTAAATATATATAAATATATGAATTCCTGAACCGGGTTACATCATTTCACAATCTTGGCTACACAGAGAGACCATGTCACCACCCATAATAACTACCTTAATGCGAAAAATAAAGACTAACTAATTGAAAGTTGAACATAATATATGTATGTCCGGGCGGGTCGATTTCTTTTTGTACAGAAAATGTTACAGATTAAGTCATTAAGACCTTATATTACATGAATTTTTAGTGCTTTTGACTGACTTAAGGAAAATGTTTTAATATTTAGGAAAACAACGTAGCTGTTCCTTCCTAAAGGTAAACCTATTGTTGATAAAAAGTTGCAAGTTTAGTATTTTTGTCAATGAAAAACCGAGCCACCCTTTAAATTTACTTACAAAATAAACCCTACTGTACAAAGGAAACTAATTCAAACAATTTTTGAACCATTTAACATCCGTTTCTCGGAACTTTCTATATACAGGAGTGCCTTAAAAATAGCTAGTGAATTGAAATCCCTTGAATTTATATGAATTACAATACATAGCAATTTCTGTGGAAGGTTCCTGCAAATCTACAATATATCCATAATTGTACAATGTGTATATTACGTACTACTGTTCCATGGGACAAGCTGTGGGCAACAAAGTGTTGTTGTTACTCGGCCCCACATAGAGCATCCCAAAGCGCTTCTGCTGCGGTGGACAGGCGACTGGAGCCGGTGCTGGAACCTCGCATCGCTCCTCAAAGTAGTGTACGATGCGCTGAAGCACGAACTTGAAGATCTTGTCCTTGGCAATCTCGCCGTTGAGGAATGTTATGTCCTTGCAGTCACGGTACTCGCTGAAGTTCTTTTCGTAGTGCGGCCACACACACAGCTCGAAGTAGCCGGTGACATCTGGGGGATCGTATGTCCGCTTGCTGCGCCGCTCGAAGCACTTTTCGTAGGGCAGATGGAAGTGGTACTTAAGGTTGCACAGAGCCAGCAATTCCGGCTGATTGAATATCATAAAGCCCTCGACCAGGAGGAAGTTGATCTTCTTGTCTCTCAGCTGGGCTGCTATCTGGGCATTGATGCGCATGATATGCGCCGCCTGCTGCTGCTGCTGATGGAGCTGTTGCTGCTGCTGGGAATGATGGTTATGGTGATGATGGTGCCGTTGCTGCTGCTGCTGATGGTGCTGCTGTGGGGCATAGTGGTAGGCCCCCCATTACCCTGCTTGTAGTAGTTCGCATTGTAGTTGTACTGCTGCTGGAACTGAAGGGCGTAGTGCTCGAAATTTGCATAGGTAACCAGTTGTCCCGGCGGCTCTTGGGCCACGTGGCGACCCTTGATGATATTCGCAATGTCGTTAAGCATCTTGGCCATGTCCAGCGAGGTGATTAGTTCAAAGTTGATTGCATTCAGCGATTCATTGCGTTGATGTCGCTTGTCCTCCACGGGTAGAAAGTAGTCATCCTGCGAAATCAGCCGCACCTCTCCAATCGTGTATGGAGAGTTCCACAGCGGCGCTCCACTCAGACCCTTGAAGTAGTCGTGCAGACTGTGGGCCAGAGTCGTCTTGCCACCACAGGTGACGCCCGAGATTCCAATTACCAACCACTGCGGCATGTTGCTATCGACTGATTTGGCTGCCACTGGTGCTGCTCTTCCCTGTTTGTCAGCGGAATCGTTGGCACGCCCTCCCGTCTACTGATAACCTCTGCCTTTAATCGCGCTTCACCTTCAGGCTCCAGATGTGGTAGAAGGAGAACGCGGCGATGCCGCCGAGGAAGATCACCCCGAATACAGTGGGGACTATGAAGGCGTATTTCAACGGTGGAAAGAAGAGCCGAATGGGATTACCTGTTTAAAAAAAGAGAAGGATACTGAGTTTCAGGTAGGACTTTGGCTAGCCATGGATTACTAGAATGTGTATGTGTATCTGAAGACATAGAGTGTTCTATAATACATATAAAAACCAACATAAATTTCTAAAATAAAGTTGACTTATCTGGCTGAATGTATTTCCCCAATGTCAAAAACAAGCGCTTAATAATACCAAATTCTAAATCGACACTTGATTCTCTCTGTGTATCGAATGCATTTTATAGGGTGTTTCTACAGATTAGATTTTGTATTTTAAGACCATTTATTAAAAGTAAACACATTTGAATGGTTACGGAATAAAGTTCATAATTCATGTTAACAAAATATTTATCTGCTAAAAGCAAAAGTTATTACCTGTGGTTGGGTAAAAGTTATAACTGAAAATGAGTAATACCTACACACATGTCGGTAAAAATGTTTGGGTGCTGATACACCCAAGCAAGGGATATCGTGTTTATGTGTTATTTGGTTATCTGAATTTCAGGAATTATTATATTATTATTTTCCTAACTCTTTCACACACCTAGGTCAACGTGTAAGTGGAAGTAATAAGGTTTTAAAGAGCTGTTAACGATTAAATATAGTATAATGTTCGTTAATTAGCCGAACTACTGTTGATTGTTAATAACAAAAACTAATACAAGAATGTGTGCTAAATTTAAACAATTAAGCGAGAAGCTGTACTTCGTGCATCACAGTTTGACCTTGAGAGAGCTCGATACTCGGAGCCGCATTCCAGGTAAGCCCCGGCTTTGGTTTGCCACCTGCCGGGATCTGGGAGATCGCTTTCCGCCTCCGCCTTCCACACACACACACACACACACACACACACACCGAAACACACATGCCGTGCCGTGACCAATTTGCGCTGCGGCGTCACTTTAATTACTGCACAAAAGCCGCCCAGATTATCCAATAAAACTAATAACGCCTGGACATGAGACTGAGGACTAGCTTCCAACTCACCTTCATCGATGAGCATAAAAGGCAGCACCGCCACCCAAAAGAAGTAGTAGAAAAACACGGCGATTGCGGCTATCAAAATGATTTTTCCGAGTTGCGCATTCGAAGCCATAAATAGCCCTGATATTCCCAGAAATGTTGTGGTTTCTCGTTCCAAAACGACACGCGACCGGCGACGATTTCAGCACAATACTGCTCATGGAATGGGCTCCCGCTGCAGACGACTCTCCTCTGTCCCCAATGCGTCAAATTCTCACAAAGTTCCTTTTCCCGGATTCTCCTGGTTGGTAAACAAAACAAACAAGTGCGTGCTCCAAAAAATCTTGAAATTGGTGTTGTAATCAGTGTGGCCGGCTGCAATAGCGGTGCGGAATATACCAAAAATCGAACACCGTGGAATTTTTTATCGAAAAACCTATCGATTTCGTTTTTATTTTGATAAATCCCCTAACCTTTTGTTTAATCTTTATAAAATTTGGGCTTACATACAAATTTGATAAAACGTTTTACTGCCTTTTAAGGGATTTGATTCTAAATCAAATATATATATATATATAAAATACCGCAGCAATATTAATACCGCACATCAGCTGATCGGGCGCAGTACAAAAACAACACCAATTAAAAACATAAATTTCGATGATTGAAAAATGGTCAAGAAGGCGCAAGTGAAGCGGCGGCCATGGGTCAAGAACCTGTACTCGAACCGGGAGTACCCGGACAACTACACGGACCCCAGCTTCCTCAAGGATCTGCGCACGAACCTGCATGTCCGGATATACACGTACCGCGAGGCGGCAGCCGGCATCACAGTGCTGAACAACCAGATCTCCTGTATTACCGGCTTCCTGATACTTTACCAGCTCCTGCTCAGTGACAGCGTCGCACCCACCACGATCCTGGTGCCCAGTTGCGGGGTGACGGGGCTCGGCTACCTTTTTTACCGAGGCAGAAGCCTGAGCTGGGCCCTGCTGGGTGAGGATTCGAAGACCCTGGTCACGGTGGTCCTATTTGGATACCTTTTCTCGCCGATGCTCCATACTCTCACGCAGGCCATCAGCACGGATACCATCTACACAATGACCTTCTTCGTCCTGCTAGCCAATCTGATGTTCAGTCACTATGGGCTGGATGTGGCCATGGTCTCGAAGGTAGGACTCTCAAAGACATGTTATTTGCTTAATTAATAATGATTTCTAGGCCATTTCCCTAAATGCTGCAATTTTTGGAGCTATTTGCCTGGCCTCCCGCCTGCCAACATCCTATCATGCCTTTGTACTCCTTGTCGAGGCTGCCGTCTTCTTTGTCCTGTACCCAATCATTACGGAGGCCAAGTGGAACGCCCAATGCATGGTGCCCATCTTTAGCATTTGCTGCTTGGCCCTGTATTGGATATCCCATCCCGTGCTCTACCTCTACGCCATAACCACGATATTCATTAACTTTGTCTGCCCGCTGATATTTGTGTGGCAGCAAAAATACAAGTTTAACATCCACGGTCCCTGGGATGAGGCGATCGTGGAGGAGAACACCGACGAGAACATCGATGCGAACTTATAGCAGCAACTAAGCTTCTCAGAGCAGAAGCTGCCACTTGGTCAGCCAGGTGGCGGCGATGTCGGGGAGCACAGTCACTAATCACCAACCTTTGCACATGTTTAATGTTTTGTTGATAGTTTATTCTTTTCTATGTTTATGTCTTTGAGATTTCATTCCAAGAGATGTTCCATTTTATGTAGTTTTTTTACTTTGTAGGTAGGTCTTTAATAAATTATTTTTTTCTTAGAATATTACAAAATAAATAATTTGCCATCAATTCGTAAATTTTTTTGTTTTAATAAAGAAACAACAGTTGTTTTCGGTTTTTTAACCTAAAATTATAATATAAACGAATAAAGCTGTTAGCTACGAGTTAAACAATTAAAAACACCATCTGTTTTTAAACTTTAAGATATACTGATCAATACTGACCTGAATTTAAATTCAAACAAGAAAGGAAGCTAACTTCGGCACGCCGAAGTTTGTGTACTCTAGTAGATTGAAATTTGATCACTAGGAATTAATACAATATAATTTATATATATTTATGTTTAAAAACAACAAAGCAATGCCTGCTTTCATTTTATTTACTCTATTTTTAGCGATTGTTTGAATGGAAGCTAAATGATATAGTAGTCCGATTTTCATAAAATTGTAGAATAATATATAATGCATAATATATGTTAGATTTGATGAAAATCTGTTGAAAACTGGAAAAGTTATAACTTGTTTTTCTAAAAATTTCCCGATTGTTCATATGTAAGTTATATACATATATGTTTATATATAGTCCACCGATTCGTCATACTCTGATTTATATACCAGTAAAGTAAAAATAGTGCAAATAGCTTGCTCTTAAATTTGTGCCAAAACAAATCTCGCACATCTGTGCATATGATTCTCAACTTGTTCTCACATCCCCGGAATGAAGCGACTGCTGCCCGCCATAGATCAGAAATGTGTTGTGTTAAAAAAGTTGCAAGTCATTGTTTATTAGTGTTCAAAGTTAGTAACTCATCATACTTACTTACTGGTCATAGATACTTACTGATCATAGTTACTTACTGGTCATAGATAATCACTGTTCAGAGTTACTTACTGATCATAGATAATCATTGTTCAGAGTTACTTACTGGTCATAGATAATCACTGTTCAGAGTTATATACTGCTCACAGCTAATTTCTGATCATAGTTCTTAATCGTCCGATTGTTCCTATGACAGCTATATATATGTTTATATATAGTCCACCGATTCGCCATGAACCGATTTATATGCCCGTAAAATTATATAGAAGAATAACTCCATAGTTTCATTCAAATAGCTTGCTCTTAAATTTGTGCCAAAACAAATCTCGCACATCTGTGCATATGATTCCCAACTTGTTCTCACATCCCCGGAATGAAGCGACTGCTGCCCGCCATAGATCAGAAATGTGTTGTGTTAAAAAAGTTGCAAGTCATTGTTTATTAGTGTTCAAAGTTAGTAACTCATCATACTTACTTACTGGTCATAGATACTTACTGATCATAGTTACTTACTGGTCATAGATAATCACTGTTCAGAGTTACTTACTGATCATAGATAATCACTGTTCAGAGTTACTTACTGGTCATAGATAATCACTGTTCAGAGTTATATACTGCTCACAGCTAATTTCTGATCATAGTTCTTAATCGTCCGATTGTTCCTATGACAGCTATATATATGTTTATATATAGTCCACCGATTCGCCATGAACCGATTTATATGCCCGTAAAATTATATAGAAGAATAACTCCATAGTTTCATTCAAATAGCTTGCTCTTAAATTTGTGCCAAAACAAATCTCGCACATCTGTGCATATGATTCCCAACTTGTTCTCACATCCCCGGAATGAAGCGACTGCTGCCCGCCATAGATCAGAAATGTGTTGTGTTACAAAAGTTGCAAGTCATTGTTTATTAGTGTTCAAAGTTAGTAACTCATCAAACTTACTTACTGGTCATAGATACTTACTGATCATAATTACTTACTGGTCATAGATAATCACTGTTCAGAGTTACTTACTGCTCATAGGTAATTACTGATCATAGTTCTTAATCGTCCGATTGTTCCTATGACAGCTATATATATGTTTATATATAGTCCACCGATTCGCCATGAACCGATTTATATGCCCGTAAAATTATATAGAAGAATAACTCCATAGTTTCATTCAAATAGCTTGCTCTTAAATTTGTTCCAAAACAAATCTAGCACATCTGTGCATATGATTCCCAACTTGTTCAAACATCCCCGGAATGAAGCGACTGCTGCCTGCCATGTATCAGAAATGTGTTGTGTTACAAACGTTGCAAGTCATTGTTTATTAGTGTTCAAAGTTAGTAACTGATCATACATACTTACTAGTCATAGATACTTAATGATCATAGTTACTTGCTGGTCAGAGTTACTTAATACTCATAGCTACTTACTGCTCATAGTTAAATTGATCAAAATAAGCCAATATTTTATTAAAATTGTGAAAGATAATTAAATTGATATTATAAAATTCTTCGAAAACTATTAATTTAAGCGTTCTATAAAATAGTATATACATTTTCTCAAGAACTGACTGAAACGTGTTCCCTAAGGCATGGAAATCCCCTGAGCGTGTTCTGAGTTTGCAACAAACTAAACCACAAGACGTGATGAGAGTTTAAAATTTAAAGGCACTCGCAACTGCAGGGTTTATGTATATATTTTATAAAGAAAACCCCAATTGTAATAATTTTTTGATGCATCAAAGATTTTTTTATTTAAATTTCTCTTGTGGTCAAAATTTAGTGGTTAAGTATCCATGTCTCCGCCTAGCATCCTTCGCACCAGCACTGGAGGCGTGCGCTGCAGTGTCCACTGACCCGTCCTCCTCCTTCCTCCCGGCAAACGCGGCGGCAGGTCTCATTATCCCAGACGGCACAAGGACCACGATATCTTCCAGAGAGACAATCGGCCTCCGCCTCGTTGGCTCCCAGGACGACCAGCATCAGGACGACGATAAGGACGAACAAGGACTTGATCTGCATGATTATTGGTGGGTTATGTTTGTATTTAACGACTTGGCGTTGATAATGAAATGAGATTCGCTACAGATCTTATATAGTGCGGGATCTGTAGATTTCACTGCCACCGTTGATGAAATTGTAAACTGATATTTATAGCCGCCCTTTTGATGCTTAAAACAGACTTTGGAACTGTTGTTTTCTTTCAAATTTAACCTCGAAAATACAATCAAATTAAGTCAGCACGTGGGCCAAGATTTATTTACTTTTTATTTATCATAACAATATATTTTATATTTTTTATTTTGTGAATTTAAATTGAAACAAGAAAGGTTGAACTCTGAAGGTGGAGAGCCCCTGTTAGGTTTAGTATTCTGAAATTTTACAGATGATCTTGAGATAATCTCTTTTAAGATGTTAAAAAACGTACCTGGGAATATATTTTAAAGTACATATGTATCTGTTTGAAATTTTGTTTTGGCTTTTTCGCAATTAGTCTTACGAATGGGTATTTTTGATTAATATGGCTGATTGATTAGTAATCAGTGCAAAATACCGTAGGTAATTTCCAACTAATAGGTTGGCAAGAATTTTAAAACGTTTAAATACTTTTCAAGGTTTAATTATATGTTGGATAATTTTATTGAAAAATAATTGATATATACAAAGTAAAAAATAAAGAAGCTCTGACATGTTTAGAAAATCAAGTGCTCGACTTAATCTAGTCGAGATAAATGCAAGCAATTTAAATAATTGGAGCATAGAGTATAATTTCCAAGAATTGAATAATGTTGGAGATCTGGGAATTCCCTGGCACCTTAACAGCTCTAGGAATTTATTTATTTTTCCCAATTTAATTAATTCTCTTTCAACAAAAACTCCTTCAATGTTGGTCTCCCTCTGCGAATAACACATGTATGACAATTTTCCTGCATATAGTATAGCTTAAAAATATATTTTCAAATATGATTTGTTGTTTACGCCTTTGTTTATTTTTGGGTATATTATAGATCAGTATAAACATACACTACACATTTCGGCACTAACTGGTGTGCATTCGCAGCCTAAATATGTATATAAAGATATGTGTTGTTTTGATCTGACTAAACAATTAAAAATATTTTGACGAGTTAAATTAGTTTACACTATCTGGCTGGGCACATTTTATGAGCTCTGGTTGTTTACCCAAATAGTTCGAGTTGGTTTGCTTCTCAGTGGAATCCCCTTTTATGGTTAAAGATAACGAATCAGCTTCTAAATATTTGCTTAAATTTGAAGCGTCAGATTTTCTGTGATGTGTGAATGGGTAGTTACACAGATCACGGTCCGTAGTATACAATTTCGTATTAAATCCTTAACAATATGATGTTTACATTAAAAATCATAATAATCAATTTAGCGAGTATTGCTTATTTTACCTAGACTGGGAGTAATATAAATAAGTCAAGGTAGCTGAACAAAATGTCTTATTTCAATTTGTAATTTATATACCTGGTACACATAATTAAATAAATTTTTGAATTTTTTTCAAAATTTCAAAAATACGTAAGGGATTACATTGATAAAATTTTGAAAAATGGATAAAAATGTTCATCTTTGTAAATGGGAAATTTGGTATGCAGATTTATTCCTCTAATAAAAACTAAACCAGAAAAACCTTCCGAATTGAAATTAATACTTCAATTTGTCGAAAAATTGTCTTATAAAAATATCGATTCAACCAAGGCGAATATTTTAAGCCTAGTTAAGATCAATTTCCATTTCGATCCTATAATTCATTGGAAAACTTCAAGCATGTTTAAACTTCAGTCCATCATAGTTAGTTTCTTTTCATGGTTTTTTATTTAAGCACAATCGGTCAATTAAAATTCATTAATTTGTATATTTTTTAATCTCTTCAAAATAATATTTTGGTGTTGATACAATTATGATTAACACAAATATCTCTTATGTAGCTCAGCATCCTTCGCACCAGCACTGGAGACGGGCACTGCAGTGACCACTGACCCGGCCTCTTCCTTCCTCCTTGCAAACGCGACGGCACGTCTCATTATCCCAGACGGCGCAGGGACCACGATATCTTCCAGAGAGACAATCGGCCTCAGCCTCGTTGGCTCCCAGGACGACCAGCATCAGGACGGCGACGAAGGCGAACAGAAACTTGATGTGCATCTTGTAAGTTTTAATATTCCACGGAGTACGGATGCTTTTCAGATCAGATAGCTTGTGATTTCTAACGTTCAAAGTATTTAGAAGGGTGCCTTATATAGGGTCCGAATATATTTGCTGACTATTATTATCGGTTAACTACGACGTCGTGGTGAAAATGTGATCAGCAGATTATAATTTCTTCAACTATATATTTTGTGAGGTATAATTTTGGGCGGATTTCTTTATAAATGCAGACTTACGATATAAAGCAGTTGCATCAGATCTTGATTTTGGAAAAATGATTATTTTTTATTACACTTTATCAAACTCCAAACCTTTATTTAAAGGTATTAGGTATTACTGCTTGGAGTGAGCTGCAGCCTTTAATGCAATTTTTGTTCTATGTTTGAGTTAAAAAATATTATTTTCATGCTGCAATGATTATATATATATATATTTATTAATAATTAAATTCAATACAGAACTCATGTCTTTCAAAATTAAACTTTGTTTAACACTGCTCGCACCAACATTTTGAGCCGCCACTGCAATGTCCACTAACATGTCCCTCCTCAATGCAAAGGCGGCGGCACTTCTCTCCACTCCAAGCCCAGCAGGGTCCTTTGAATGTTCCAGAAAGGCAGTCTCTGGCTTCAGCCACGTTGGTGTCCAGGACAGCTATTGTCATGAGGGCGAGGAAAAGGCACAGGAACTTGATCTGGATCATTTTTACCGATTTTCTCTGATTTAACAGGCGACTTCGTGGTTTTACAAACTTGGTTTGATGTCGACTAAACTTGCGATGAAGCTATTTATAGGTGATCCGACCACTCCTTACGGATGCTTATTCTTATCTTTAGAGAGGGTAAACTAAGCAAGGAAACTTATAGTTCCGAGAAAGCCGATAAGGAAGGCCACTATTTGATCTGGCGATATCTACTCAAAAGCTTTATTTATTTATTTAACACAATTAAGTGTTGTATATAATACTAAACCTCTTGCACCTAATGTGTACTAGCTCTTAAGACCTTCGACAAGGAACTAACTAAACCTAGGTCATCTCGTCTGACTGACTTTCCATTTTAAATAAATTTTTGAAAACTTTAACGATAACATTGTGAAATTTTGATAATATTTTAATTTCCACCGGACATGGCTACATCGACTCGTCCATTGATGCTGATCAAGAATATATATATGATTTATAGCGTCGGGAATGACTCCTTCATTGTTTTTCATGCTTCTGACTAAAATTATAATCCACTGCAAGAGTATAAAAATAGTCTTCGATTAAAGAGAAGTCGAGCCTACGTGACGTATACTTAACGTAAAAACCCTTAAATTAAGTATACGCCATGTGTGTTTTAAGAAAGAATAGTTTCATGGTTTATAAAGATAAGTAATTCGAGCAAGTTTAGCAATTAAATTATAAAATCGAATCAATGTCGATGATAGTAAAGCTTAAAATTTTCGGTATTTATTAATGTTATTATAACATTTTTCGACAAACCAAAATTTAAAACACTCATAACTGAGCCAAAAATTCGTTAATTTAATTCGGAAAGCTTTTCTATGCTAGTTTTATTAGGTTAAAAAATCTGCATACTCAATTTAAAGTTTAAAAAAATCCGAATTTTATCAATTTTTGAAAATTTTAACGATGCAACCCCTTATAAAATTGTAAAATTAAAAAAAAAAATGTGAAAAAATTAATTTTCTACCGGACATGGCTATATCGACTTGGCTATTAATGCTGATCAAGAATATATATGATTTATAGGATCGGAAATGACTCCTTCATTGTTTTTTAAGCTTCTGACTGCAATTATAATACCCTGCAAGGGTATAAAAATATCTGTATATGCATGTAGTTGAAAGAATGCGATTATTTCATAAAAGATTTTCAAATTGCAAACTGATTTCATTGTTAAATTTTAAAATGAGGAATCATTTTGACTGAAGAAATTACTGTCGGGTAATACAGATAGTCTTTTATATATGTATGTAGATTGTAAAGCAAGTATTCGAACTGTTCTTCCTACTAAGTATTTCCTAAAAACTCTTTATCTTAAGATAAGGAAATATCGTTTTGAAACCGTGTTCAACGCCTTCGAATGAGGTAAGGGAGTCAACACAAAAGATCCACCTCCTATAAAAGCTCCATCGCGAGTTGTCAATATCAAACACAATTAATAGCTCTCATAATAATTAGCAAGTATCAGTAAAAATGGTGCAGTTAAGTTCCTGTGTCTTTTCCTTGCCATCATGACGATTGCGGTTCTGGACTCCAACGTGGCTGAGGCAAGAGACTGCCTTTCTAGAACGTTTTCTGGACCCTGTTGGGCTTGGAGCGGTGAACAGTGCCGACGCCTTTGCAAGGAAGAAGGACGTGTCAGTGGACATTGCAGTTCCAGTATGAAATGTTGGTGTGAAGGATGCTGAGCCAACTTATGTTTTTTTTTAGATCAAAATATGATTCTATATTCTGTAATTAATATTCAAAATAATTTAAACAAATATAGAAGTCCTATTAATACATACTTACGATGTACCAACCATGAATTGTGTAACGACGTTTTACTATCTTCAATACAAACCAATAGTTTTGACAATGCAAGGAATGCATTAATTACAATTAACTTGGGCTGATTATGTTTGGCGTTTATTTACAAACATATACAGGTGAAAGTCAATGCAGATCATAAAATAATACATGATGTTTGCATTTAATGTATATTCATTATAAAGTTCGACGCAATTAAAATTAAATATAAACTAGTTTCTCGCTTGTTTGTGTGGTAAAAACTCTTCTTCTCTTTACATATAGCGTTTAAGACTACTAAGAATAGGGGACTATATGCCTAACCGTACACACAATACCTCAATGTATTTTGTAAACTGTCTTTAGTCATTCGCTAATCCGTAGTTAACTATTGAATACAATAATTTATTTATTCACGTAGGTATATAAACTTTCTCAAAATGTAAAAAACGTAGTACATATGTATTCTCTGTTGGTTGGGCTCTCTTATCGACTTACAACTAACGCAATTAATTAACTACAATCGAAGGGGTTTAACATACTATATATAGTATATACGAATGACGTCATCATTAACTGCATGTTCCATTAAACTTTGTGTAATCTGCACTATCAGATATTTCTCTCTTTTTTCCTTTGATTCTTTAATTAAACTAGCTCAGTGGTCAGCGACTTTCCTCATCTATCCATTCAATGCTCTCCCATTTATGCCTAAAATTCCACTAAGAACAAATAATGATACAAACACTAAAACACGAACGCTGCACCAGGGCAGACCAGTCTCCAGTCTTGCAGCACGCACAATTAAAACGTTAAACTAGGCTCCTTAATTAGAGGGCCACCTCGTCACCGTTGCGGGTGCTGAGGGGTGGCACCTGCTCCTGATACTGCTGCTGTTGTTCGGCCAGCAACTGCAGCTCCCGTCGCCGATGGGCCGTCACCGACAGGCCGTCCATCGCGCTGCTGGAAGCCATTGGGTTGTTGGCGCTTGGCTCGTACCTTATATCACGAATTGATGTTGCTCCTGCTGTGGCTGCTTTTGTTGTTGTAGCTGCGGTGGCAGTGGCTGCTGCGGTTGCTGTTTTGGTCGTGGCAAAGTGTACATGTTGTTGTGCCTGCTGTTGCTGTGGCTGTTGTCAGAATGAATCACTCCTTCCCGCTGACCCCGCCGACGCCGCAATTGAAGTTGTTGACGCTCCTGCTGTCGCGGTGGCGGTGGCACTACTTGCGGCTCCTCCTCCTTGGTTGCCACTGGAAGCGGTGACCTCCAGCAGGGAGCCCGCCTCCACATCGCCAGCCTGTCGGGCGGCATTGCGCTGTCGGCACAAATACGGTGAGTTGGTGGGTGAGGGCAGTTGGTTCTGCAATAGGGAAGTTGAAATACGATTCTGATAAGATTAAATCATATCCTAAGCTCACCAATTTGTTGTTATTCTGGCAGCAGGTGGCCTTGACACAGCCCTCCTCCGTGGTGGGACAGTCCAGGGCGCAGCAGTCGGAGCCGCTCATGTTGATGCTTGAGGTGCCATCGGACATATTGCAGCCCTCGATCTCACTGAACTCTGGCTGAATGGTGGTTGAATGGATACCCTCGTTGTGGAAGAACTCCTTGACCTTCTCTGCAATCTTCATGTACTCCGACAGGTTGCGGCAACTGTAACAAAAAATACAAAAAAGGGTAGGATCAAGCTTACTTTTGAAAGAATATAATACAAACTCACCGAATGTGGGCAGAGGCAATGATGCGGTCTCCCGCCAGCTGCCACACATGGAACTCGTGCACGGCCAGCACACCGTCGACCTTCTCGAGCAGTCGCTTCTGAATAGCATCCACCTGGATATGGGTGGGCACCGTCTGTAGCAGGATCAAGGCAGACTCGCGAAGCAGCGGCCACACAGAATGCAGGATCAGGACCACCAGAACGATGGACAGGGCTGGATCCATATAGTAACGGTACTTCCACTCGGTCTTCCACACAACCATCGCACTGATCACCACGATAATGCTGCCCAGGGCATCGCTCAGGACGTGCAGGAAGGCGCCGCGCATATTCATCTGACCGGGGTCGTGGCTATGACCATGACTAGACTTCTTTACTGCCTGCTTCTCCTTTTGCTTCTCATAGGCATAATCGTTTTGCTCATCATCGCCCTCGTCCATGTTGGCCAGTTCGGTGAGACGGCTGTGGTTGCGGGTGAGACCGCCGCCATGCGAGTGCCCATGGTGACCGCCATGCTCTGGAATAGATAATTCGTAAGTTATAGCTTTTAACTAAATATATTTATAAGTTTATTTTACCGTAAAGCAGACAGAGCCCAATAACATTCACCAACAGGCCCAGGGCTCCCACAATAACCAGCAGCTCGGGCTCGTGAATCGGTTCCTCTTCAATGAATCTGAAAAAAGACATAAATACAGGTTAATAATAATGTTTATTTGGTTAATTATTAGACTAGTAGTTAAACAAAATCGGTTTGTTAATAAGTGATTAATGTTTTATACAATCTCTTTAAACTTCACTGTAAGCAACATATTATTCTCACAAATTGCTGTACCCCGATTTTATCTTAGTATACTTTGTATACTTTTATCAATGGGAAAGTGCTTCCCATTCCACCAACTTCTGGACATCGTACCCCAGCCTTATCAGTGCACATTTTATTTTATGGCTTTAGAAATTATCAGTTATTGTGGCTTTAATTATGGTTAAACACTCTACAAAGTTTTTACAATTATGTCATGAGTTTTTATCAATTTTAAAAATTTAAATGAATTCAGTCAGAGATTATGGTATCAATAATCCGATTAGGCAATTCGAATTTTTGTAAAGGCTGTTTGTTCTAGAAATTTATTAGGCATTTGATTTTGTATTAAATAAATAACAATAGCTGGCGTTACCCAGTAAATAAAAGGGTATCGGTAGCAGTAGCTATTGGCAACAGATTCACCTCGTAAAGCTTTTGATATATATATAAGCGCAAAATGCGCCCGGAATGCAAATGGAAATCAAGCGAATAATTCACAAAACACACAGAGAATTATGCGAACAGAAAGGTGGCAGTAAAATCCGAACGAATTAAGTGATTCAAGAAAATTTAATCAAATCACGTTAATACACACGCCGCGATGCCAAGGCGAGGAGCTTATTATTGCTTACTTCTCACAGATCATCGAGCAACTGGGTTTTGGGTGTGGATCGTTGATCTGTAATTACTCTCAATGCGGGTAATGTTTGGGAAAGCAGATTTTTCTACTGATTGATAGGAATTATGAGAGATTAAATATTTTAAATCGATTACGAAACCCCTTATAGGAATAAGAAATTGTTTTTAATTTGAAATGAGAAGCACTTCAATTTATGTGGGAAGACTTTTAAAGAGATAATGTTGTTTATACTTTCTGATATTTTATGAATATTTCTCCTATATTAATTCAAGGGAAACTCACCTCTTACACGCCTCAATGGTGATGCTGAAGCACAGGGCCACCAGGAACACTGCGTTGACCAGGGCTCCAAGAACTTCAGCTCTGGCCCAGCCAAAGGTGTTTTTTGACCACTTTTTCGGCGACATCTGTCGAGGTAAGACAATTTAGTAGGAATTCTTTGCAATGGGGATGGCATGAACTCACCTTCACAGACAGGAAAGATATAACCAGGGCGGCAATATCGCCCAGCATGTGGAAACTGTCCGCTACCAGAGCCATGGAATTGGTTACATAGCCCACAATGATTTCCACAAAGAAAAAGAAGGCCGTCAGCCACATCATCGAGAGCAGGCGGCATTTTTTGCCCGAGTACTTGGCCATTTTGGAGAAGCTGCAAAAATATAAAATTGTATATAGTTAGCAAATATATAAATAGTATTAAAAGTAATGAGAATTTCTTTAAAATGCACCTAAAATCCAAATCACAGTGCCTTGGAGAAAAGCCATAAAGTGACTAGCAATTATTTAAAGAGGAAAAACAACCGAATAACGACTGGGGTAAGGGCAGCTGTTATTTTATTGCCACCACCCATAACCAATATATTGGCCTTTCGAAATATCAATCAAAGTTTAGCTCTCTCTCAGTTCATTCAACCTATATTTTATGCAGTCAACAAATCGCCTGCAATGTGCCAACCTTTGAAATCGTTTTTGCCGCACAGCAAAACACACACAGTACACACACCAAAGACACTGGAGACGACACGCACACCCAAACAAATTACCAACAAATTGAGTTTTTCAATTGTTTTCCATTGTTGCTGCTCGAACTGTTTTCCATTTAGTTCCATTAAGCCTTTTGTGATGGCAAAACTTTTCCCCTTCGATGTAGGGATTTAATTGAATGCTATATGCTGTAGGGGGAGAAGGAAGGAATTGGGAACTATCAAAAAGCCCAGTTTAAAGCGATCGCTTAGAGGCCTGAAAATGGCACGAAAATGAGGGGCTTGGCTATGGCCTTTTATAGTTTTACGTCTCGGTTGAGTAAACAATCTGGAAAACAACGAAAAGTATCTGAAAGTAGGGTTTCCATGGATCCTAATTTAGGTTGAAATAATCTTGACTTTAGATTTAATCTTGGTAGTAAAATACTGGTATAAATGATGCGAATTATTCACTCGTATTTATCCTTTAAAAAATAATATTGTATTTCTTTTCTTGCATTCTTTGCAGTACGACACTCACGCAAAGAACTGCATTTCGGCTGCCTGGAAGGCTTAGACTGGGGGTCTGGGACTCCTCCTAGTGACTGATCGGGTTGGACGCTACTCTAGATCGACGTTGGACTGCCAGGCATGTTCCCTTGAATCAGCAGCGGTGGCAAAACGCGATGTGTAAACAAAAACACAAAACATTTTCAACTGAATCGGCGACGATGGTGAGCAAAGAGATGTATCGGCATCGGGGCAAAAA